CATGCTTTCCCCTTTCGCAATACTGTTTACATTGTAACTGAGGAAAAACTCCACATGCATAAAACTCCCATACCCTTAATGAAAAACACTGGCTAGTGAAATACAGGCAATGTTTAGCTGCAGTGAGGAAGACATTATCTTGAGGTCGCAGGCTCAGTCTGTGGCAGCTTGATTAGGAAAGTTCTCTGCCAGAAATATTGCAAAACTTAACTAATTCCTGTCAGGGTGAACATTACTTTCCTAGACTGAACTGTTGCTCTGTCTCACAACAGGAGCATATTGGAGAATGTATCTGTTTAATGGGAACAGACCACTGGATACTCATCACGAAGGGCCATTCTCCACTGAGGAAAGGAGGACATCTTGAGGGTGATTCCCACCACCATTCTATCAGGGAGGCATGTGCAACTTTTTTCAACTTCCTGTCCCAGTCTGTGGGAGTCTTCCTCTTCAGTTTAGGTAACTCCGAAAGCAGTCAATGTTAATGCCAACTCTAACAGGAGAACAAAGGGACAAGACAAAACAGCAACAGGTAAGTAATACAGTTTAGACAGGAAGAGAACCTGCTGAGTATCTAGCTTAATAACAACTTTGAGAGGAACAAGATGTCCTCCTTTACTCAGAGGAGAAGGACCCTTCACATTGAGTATCCAGTGGTTCATTCTCTCTCTGAGGCAGAGAACATCTTGTGGGACCTCCCAGAGCAGTGTCCTGTTTCAGGGTGGATCATCGTTGTCTTCACTTAGGACGTTTTGCAACACTCTTCTGCTGAAAGCGGCATCCGCTGAATTGTAAGTATTGATTTTGTAGTGTCTGATGAACATGAAAAGGGAGGACCACGTAGCTGTCTTGCAGACTTCCTCGACTGTGGCATGCCTCACGAATGCTGCATGGGTTGCGGCACTCCTGACTGAATGGTTTGATATGATTTATAGCTCGCCCTCCCCTGCAAGCAGGCTCAGGGTGGATAACAACAATAACAATAAAACATTTAAAATAATAGATATACATTAGCATTAAGAATAGTGTCTAATAGTAATATATCTGATGGCAGCTGAAACATAAGAACAGATTAATACACCCCAGAGAGATTTTGCATCAAGGGCAACGCTAGATGTTAAAATAATAATACAGAAGATAGGGCAAGGAAGATAAGAGCATGGGGGCAGACCAGTCCAGATGGTTACCACAACCTCAACTGTAGCCCTGGTTGAACATTAAGTACTTGAAGGGCTGTCATATAGAGGATGGTGTAGAGTTTGTTGCCCCAGAAGGTCGGACCAGAACCAATGGGTTGAAATTAAATCAGAAGAATTTTCAGCTAAACATTAGGAAGAACTTCCTGACAGAGTGGTTCCTCAGTGGAACAGGCTTCCTCGGGAGGTGGTGGGCTCTCCATCTTCAGAGGTTTTTAAACAGAGACTAGATGGCTGACAGCAATGCTGATTCTATGAACTCAGGCAGATCATGAGAGGGTGGCCAGGAAGGGTTGCTTCAGTGCTTAGTTCTTGTGGTCCTTTCTTACACGCACAAGGAAATGCTGATTGCTACTTAGGGTTCAGGAAGCAATTGTTCTCCTGACCAGTTTGGCCAGGGATCCTGGAGGCTTTTTGTCATCTTCTGGGTGTGAAACAGCAGTCACTGGGGGTGTGGAGGGGGAAGTATTTGTGAATTTCCTGCATTGTGCAGGGGGTTGGACTAGACGACCCTGGAGGTCCCTTGCAACTCTGTGATTCTATGTCCCGCAGGGCCCAGATCTCACCTGGTAGAGTGTTCCACCAGGCCTTTGCCAGAATGCGCTGTGATTCCAGTAGAAATGGGAAGCTTGTGACTCTAATATCCTTCTACTACGCATGCGTTACGTATATTACTAATGGCCAATTTTGACATCTTATGCCCCGTGTTGGGTGGAGAGATGGACATGTATAACGCTTCGGTTTTTCTGATGTGACTGGTCTGACAGCTATACATCTTGCGTGCTCTTCTGACATCCAGTGGGTGCCATATCTTTTCCCTTTGGTGCTTTGGATTTGGGTAAAAGGATAGAAGATATATTTCTTGAGCTCTATGGAAGGTAGAATTGACTCTGAAGATGAAGGTAGGATCTGGTCTCAGCACCACCTTATCGTTATGGAATATGCAGAGCTCGGGCTTAACTGACAACAAGCCTAGTTCGGAAAGTCTTCTGGTGGAAGTGATGGCCATGATAAAGAGAGTCTTCATTTGCAGCCATTTGAACGCAACTTCTCTGAGGGGCTTAAACGGTGGCCTAGTGAGTGCTGAGAGAAGCGTGTGATACTTCCATGTTTGGAAGCTGTGTTCCTGAGGTGGGTCCTTCAAGTCCACACCCTGGAGGAAATGCCGAATGTGGGGGTGCTTTGAGCTGCTTGTGCTTTTGATTTGAGGTAATATTGCTGTTTGAGGGCAGGAGCTTTGAGTCCTCTCATTACTCCTTCTTGAAGGAATGCTAAGATTGATCTAAAAGGTGGTCTTAAAGGATTGACCTTTTTCCTTTTACACCAGCGAACAAACGCCTTCCACAATGTGTTGTAGATCCTATTTGTTGGAGGCTCTGAGACCCTCGGTGACCTGAGTATCGTGCCCTAGTCATAAGAATTTGTCCCTTTCAATTTCCAGGTGGTCAAATGAAGCCATTACAGTTGAGTCTCCATTATGAAACCTGGTGTGGATACAGCTCCACCAAACTCAGCAAGCTCTGGGTCAGTTAAGCCCGCAGGAGAGCCAACTCTGATGGATATTTGGGGCTGCATAAAATGGCTACCGTCACTGGTCACAAGACTCAAGCTGGGAGAAGGCCCTGGCATGATTTTTACTGCATGTTTTTCATCAACTCCAGGTATCAAGGAGTCGGCTGCAGTTGCCACAGCGAGCCAACTGTGTGCCTTGCTGGTTGATCTGGTAGTCTCTCTTGATTCTCGCATGAGTGAGAGGTTGGCTTCTCCCTCTGGTAAGAACTCATCACTGCCTTCAGTCTGTGCTACGATGTGAGTGACCAACAGGACTCACTCTGTTCTGCTGCCTTGGGCAAAAATGGCTGACACTGTTTCTGGCATTCGTCAATTGCTCCTTTTCCTCTCTCTCAGGGATGGGAGGGGCAGGAGGAGGGAGCTATAAGAATGAAGTAGAGGAGGGAAGATGTGCACAAAAAAGGCTATGCAAAGAAGAATATAGATCTAAGACTTTTAAGAGAAAAAGCAGTCAGGATAAAGAGAAAATCCTAACAGGAAAGGGAAACCCTATTTTGAAGCTGCTGTCTGTGTTGAGGCAGGAAACAAACTGAAGAGGGTGACTCCCACAGACTGGAGACAGGAAGATGAATACATTTGTTCCTGTCTCCCTGAGAGGAAGGTGAGAATCACCCTCAAGATGTCCTCTGCCTCAGAGGGAGAACAATATTTCTATAGTGGAATGGTCATAAAGGTAAAGGTTTCCCTTGCTCGAAAGCCAGTCGAATCCGACTCTAGGGTTGTGGTGCTCATCTCCGTTTCAAAGCCGAAGAGCCAGCGCTGTCCGAAGACGTTTCCATGGTCATGTGGCCGGCATGACTAAACACCGAGGCGCACGGAACGCTGTTACCTTCCCACCGAAGTGGTTCCTATTTATCTACTTGCAATTTCTTGCTTTCGAACTGCTAGGTTGGCAGGAGCTGGAACTAGAGACGGGAGCTCATTCCGTCATGCGGCACCCTGGGTCTCGAACTGCTGAACTACCAACCTTCCACAGCCTGCAGTTCAGCGTCTTAACCACTTGAGCCACCGCAGCTCATACATCGGCCTAAATGATCAGAAGGCAAGATAGGCCTCTACTAATAGCAAAGGACTTCTACCTGCACAGAAAAGGGCATAATGTTAGAATTATCCCTACATCTCTCACCCTGAATAAGTATTAAACATGTGTGCAGACTCTCCGCATGCTACCAGGGATATACCCTCGACCCCCTGCAGTGGCAATGGACAGTGCAGTTACTAACTTTATGAACCCAGAACAACTATGTTGATTGAACAGAATATAAGCACTTCCTGATCAGCCAACACCAGGAGCTTCTGTGCAGGTCAGTTCTGAGGAGGATGTCAAAATGTTGCCATCTTACGAATTCGCAGGCTTCAGTGCTGGCCTCACCTAGGGTCCCCTCCTGCCCACAGTCATTTCAGAAGCAATGGGAGGTTATGGTTTGTTTCTGTCCTTTTGGTGCTTTGTTTCTGATCCTCATTCCCTCCTCCCTGCAGACTCCCAGCAAGTTTCCTGCTCACTAGCACTGTCCGTTTAATTCTATTTTAAACTTTTAATTTTGTACCTACTATTATTTAAATGTATAACCAGTTCTACACTCAAGGGTGCAACATCAGGGATCAATATCCATTAAACAAATGTACTGCATGATTACTCTATGTTATTGGATTACATATGTTCCTAAAGGCCATAAACTGTCAAACGGTGGCTGAAACCCCTCTTTTGAGTAGGTTTACAGAGAGACAGCCAAGTCTGCCCACAATTCCATTTCAGACAATTCAGCCTAATTGATTTTTAATGTGATAAAATCACCAAACGATCCAAAATTCATTGTGTTATATCCAGGGGCATCCCTAAGTAAAAACCTAAGGACTCAAGTGTTTCCATACATCTGAAGGCCAGGAGGCATCTTCCAATTCTTATATTCCTTCATCTTTATTATCAGCTACTGCTTCATAGAACAGCTGTTGATTATTCTTTGGTAGACAGCAAAGTATTTAGAAGCTTGGAAGAAAACCAGAAGGAAACTTACTCAATCGCCACGGGGGCTATAAAAATAGAGAAGAAACTTTGTATATAACCAAGAGGAATACAGAGCTTGCAACAAGTGTTGGTTTCAGGAGCTTTGCTCTGGGGAGTTTATACCAGCTGCAAATCTCCACTGTCTTCCCTCCCCTCTCCCTGGCGCACATGTAACACGAAACTTTGCATCTCCAGGACTACCAACAACAAAAAGAGAGAGAGAGAGAGAGAGAGAGAGAGAGAGAGAGAGAGAGCAAGCACGCACGCACAATTCAGGCAGAGACAGCAGCTGGCTGTCAGCATCAGGGACAAGAGGAGTTGAACAAGGAAAGAAAGAATACAGAGACAGTCAAAAATGGAAGGAGAGCTGACATGAAGTGAAGACAACAGAAAGAAAAACACAAAGGACAAACATCTAACCCTGCTGCACCACTGGGGTAAGGCTGGCTTTTGCCTCTTCTCATCCCACACAGCACCTCAGCAAAGGAAGGATTTCACTGTTCAGCTTAAGCCTTTGTCAAGATTTTATTGCAAGTGTTAAAAGTGCAGGGAGGACACACAGGATGGAAGAGATAGAAGGTGGTGGGAGATGAAAGCTGTGTCAGTCTAGTTGTTTAGCAGTCAAGAGTGTGAGCCAGCTGCATGTTCACGTGTATCCTATGCACTGGGCCCTAAACCCTTTAAAATCAGTAAGGGGGAGGGAGAGAGGGAGAGAGGGAGAGGGAGAGGGAGGGAGGGAGAGGGAGAGGGAGAGCGAGCGAGGGAGAGGTGAGGGAGAGAGAGAGAGAGAGAGAGAGAGAGAGAGAGAGAGAGAGAGAAGCAAGGCTGTTTTGTGAACTAGTCGTGAGAAAATCTGATACATCTTTCCAGGAACTGGCAATTAGTCTGATTATACAGCTTGAATTCCTCAGGCAATCAAGTATTGAAGGAATTCTTATATAAATTACCAAACTGTGGGGTAATAACTAAACTTTGTGGTGTGTTTTCATTACAATAAAAGTTCTGGTTGAGCAAGAAAGCTATATCGCCATTGCACACAAATAAGAGTGTGTCTCAAGATTAAGGATTTTGTGCCAGTTAGAAAACATTCCACATTCCTATACTTGCTTTTGGTTCTTCAGAACAGTTAGAGTGCAAACAGCTGCTGAAACCGGGCCCAGGCTTTAATGGAGTGTCACTGAGGAATTTTGGGGGGGGGGGGGGGGTGTTTATTTTTTCAAAATGGATTACTACAGGCAGTAGTTCGGTGCAGGTTTTTCTTGCTTTCCTGGGAACTCTGACACTTTAACCACAACATTCTCTAAACACCAGCAACACTATTTAGAATGGATATTCAGCTAGCACACAAGCAGGTCAGGGAATAAAATCCTTGCTAGCTTTGCTGCTACCTATCAAGGCTTTACCCAAATATCTTTATCATTTGTTGCCAAAGATGAAACTCTTTGCACATAAAAGCAATTGCTGCCATGATGGTTCTGTGCCATTTTTATACTAGCATCATAACACATATTTTTTAAAAAAGAAAACATGGATCATTTGGGGATGTTTCAGGCAAACAAAATTATTTCCAAGTTATTTTCTCCCAAGAGATTTTTTCCCCACCACTCCCAACTTCATGTGATGCACATACAAAAAAATGCAGAGTATCAAGTACTTTCAGGTTCTCTCTGCAGCATAGTGACTTGCAAGGGGTGTGGATGGTGTACGTTCTGAGAAACCTCATGCAAATTAATTATAATATTCATGTGCAAAGATAATTTAAGGGAAATAAACAGGAGTCTAGTGGCACCTTAAAGACTAACTAGCCACCTTGAACCATGAGGAAAGGTGGGATATAGATGTTTTAATAAATAAATAAATTAAATAAGTCAGTTTTATTCCAGTGTAAGCTTTGGAAGACACAAAAGCAGGAAAGGTGCCACTAGATTCCTGTTTATTTTTGCCTCAACAGTTTAACACAGTTACTGCTTCAGAATAACTAAATGGGTCACTTTCTCTTGACAGAAATCTGAATTCCATGGTTCCTATTACAGACTTTAAATAGCTGGATCCCTCTTTTTGAGAAATCTGTTGTTTCTCTTAGCTGAGCACTAAGGGGGAAAAAAAAGAACAAAGCAAGCATCCAGGACTAAAGACTAAGAGGAAAAAAGCAGTTAAGGGTTTTCTGGTTAAAAATGCAGAAGAGTTTGGCAGGGGCCTCATCCAGCAGCAAAGGGGAAACATGCAAATTGAAACATATGTCTAGGAATCAGAAGGCAAAAGCCTGGCTTGTGTTACCAGCTGTCATACTGTTAAAGAGGCCTCTCAATATCCATAAAGCACAGTTGTTAAAGAGCGGTGGCCAGAGGCCAGGCCGCACTGCACACACTAGCTATTCACAAGCAGGAAACAGACTGTGGCATTTTGAAGAAGCTGCCATAGAACAGTGACTTGCCTTTCTGCCCCTTTTCCCAAGCATGTTACAGGCTACCTCTTAATGGTTTGCCATAGATTCACCAAGTAGGAGGCACACACTTGAAAAAGATGGGATAAACTTAAAAGACAGCCTGGAGACACAAAAGAAATTGTTGTTGTTCAGTCGCACAGTCGAGTCTGACTCTTCGCGACCCCATGGACCACATCACGCCAGGCCTTCCTGTCTTCCACCGTCCTCTGAAGTTGGCTCAATTTCATGTTCGTTGCATCTATGACACTGTCTAACCATCTCATCCTTTGCTGTCCCCGTCTTCTTTGACCTTCAATCTTTCCCAGCATCAGGGTCTTCTCCAGTGAGTGCTCTCTTCTTATTTGGTGGCCTGGCCTTCCAGGGAGCAGTCAGGGTTGATTTCTTTTAGGATTGACTGGTTTGATCTTCTTGCAGTCCAAGGGACTCTCAAGAGTCTTCTCCAGCACCATAGTTCAAAAGAATCTATTCTTCGGCGCTCGGCCTTCCTTATAGTCCAACTCTCGCAGCCATACATGACTACTGGGAATACCATTGCTTTGACCATGCAGACGTTTGTTGGCAGGGTGATGTCTCTACTTTTTATCATGCTGTTTAGGTTCGCCATCGCTTTCCTCCCAAGGAGCAGGCGTCTTTTAATTTCATGGCTGCTGTCATAGTCTGCGGTGATCTGGGATCCCAGGAACGTGAAGTCTGTCACTGCTTCCATGACTTCCCCTTCTATTTGCCAAGGAGTGATGGGGCCGGATGCCATGATCTTAGTTTTTTTGATGTTGAGCTTCAAGCCCACTTTTGCGCTCTCCTCTTTTACCCTAAGCAAGAGGCTCTTTATTTCCTCTTCCCTTTCTGCCATTAGAGTGGTATCATCTGGATATCTGAGGTTGATCTTTTCCCCAGCAATCTTAATACCACAGCAAAAAGAAACTGCAGTTTAACCAGTAAACTCATAAGAAATGACACACCTTACTACAGTTGCATGTGGTGAGGTGACATCCACCCTTAGATTAGCTAGGTTTCAAAAAGAGGTACCGTATTTTCCGGCGTATAAGACGACTGGGCGTATAAGACGACCCCCAACTTTTCCAGTTAAAATATAGAGTTTTCCAGTTAAAATATAGAGCTGTGCTGATGCTTCTGGCGTACCGGCGTATAAGACGACCCCCCACTTCTGAGAAGATTTCCCTGGGTTAAAAAGTAGTCTTATACGCAGGAAAATACGGTATTTATCCCACACTTTACCCTTCCTCTTGTGAGTAAAAGTAAACTCAGCTATGGGATTATTAAATCCAGATTAGAAATGCAAGAACGCACATGCTGCATGCATAACGCACAAAGGTCCGAGACTGAATTTTATTTTCAGTTCAGCTATTTTTATTTCCCCAAACAGTTCCCATGGATTTTATTGATACTCAACAAGTAAGTTTCATCACAAACAAACTCATAAAAGAAGAAGAAGAAGAGATTGGATTTATACCCCGGCCTTCACTTGGAGTCTCAGAGCGGCTTACAAACTCCTTCCCTTCCCCTCCCCACAACAGACACCCTGTGAGGTGGGTGGGGATGAGAGAACTCTGACACAAACTGCTCATTTTCAAGGACAGCTGTGCCAGAGCTTGTGACTGACCCAAGGTCACATCAGCAGGTGCAAGTGACTGTATCAGGCAGAGAAGACATAATTTATTTCGCTTCTGCTGAGTCCTACCAGCCATCTAGCTAATCAAAGTTTGGATGCCTGCATACATTCAATAGTAGAGGGCATCAACAAGGGTAAATTTGCACAATCAGTTTGTATGAGGAAGCATGAGTATGAATTTAACCCCAGGATTACTTGCTCTTACAAATATACTTTGAGGTGGCAAAACAGAGATACAAACAAAAGAAATTAGCCACTCGGAGCCAACACTGAATTTCTCATGCTGCATATTACTTGGTGGTACTGCAGCATCTCTGTAGCTATGCTGTGGTATATAACATGCTTTTCAACTAAATATTCTCATTAGTGTGTGCATAGGTAACTCCAGTAGTCAAACCATTCCTTGCCTTCAAGTAATCCTAACTCTGCTAACAGGTAAACAGAGAAATCTGTGAGAGACCTGTAGTTCAGTTTTGGAGGGAGACTCACCCGGCAACCCCCTTATTATCAGCGGAAGGAGGTATTTTATTTTATTTACTTATAGAAATTAAACATTCAGGGCTCCAGGGGGAAAAACTGAGGGCGACTGAATACAGGGCGTCAGTCACAGGTATGCCACAAACAAACCTTCCAGACATGAAGGCTGCCAAACTAGTTTTAGTGACATAGTATGTTGAATTCCTGCAGTTGTCATCACCTCAGTTTAAAGGAGAACTGTTCTGCTGAGGACCCAAACGCTGTTATTTGGGAGAGGTTCAAAACCCAACTAACCAGCTGCACAGATGGTAAACACTGGTGTTTGACTCTAAATCTAGAAGCATCTTTGTGGTTCACTGATGGATTCTAAACTGACCCTTAAAAAGGGGTGTGTGTGTCCAACTGCTTTATAACGGCCTTACTATATTTTTCATCTCAACAGCCTCCTTACTTGGTTCATCATTCTTCCCATTCATGGGCTGAGTGCTGAAACAGTGACCTCTTTTTTTTCCTTTCCCCCATGGCTTCTGAGGTAGTCACCAGTGTAGGATTGAGATCTAGTTCATCTAGGGTCAAATTCTGTCCTCTGAACCATGTTGCTTGTAGTTTTGCGAAAGGCACTATTAAAAAGCAACTGTGTCTTATTTGTGTGGCCTTGTACCATCAGTTTGTGGCTATGCTGGGGGATGACAACTATTTCAGCAACACAATATTCTCATTAGTGAATTCTGGAGAGCCATCTGATTTTTTTTTGCTGACAAATACTGCTTTACTAACAGAACCACTCAAGCAGCCAAAGCGATAATTCTTTCCAGAATTCAAATACTCAGCCATTGCCAAGACAGACAGACAGACACGCTGATCCTGTTTTGTTTCATAAGAGAAGGGGTTCTGACCTTCTTTCATGAGACTGAGAACTATGAGACCTTTTCCTTTCAAAGTATAAAGATGAATGTATAATAACTAAACAATAGTCACTATTCCTTATTACAGCTGGTTTACCAAAAGCAAAGCAAATATTCCACCCTTCAGACCTTTGGGAAAATAGTATCTTGAAGTATAATTTTAAAGTTTAGTGACAGGTAATGGAAATCACTTAATTCAGAGCCAGTACAAATGGAGGCAGAATATGGTTATGAGTCTGATCATAAATGGGGGAAAAATTAACTCAAATTCAGTTTGTCTTACAAACTAAAGTCTGAGTCACAAAGTATGCTGAACTGCTGTCAAGCTTAGCCATCTCCTGATAACAGAACACAACCACTGGATAGGTGGCTTAGAATGTCCTTTGTGGGACACTGTCTTGTAGGAAGAAATCTACCACAGTATCAAGAACCAGATGGAAGTGTTCTAACAAAGCATTTGACAGAGAATACCTTTACTTATTCATCAGTAATTATCCACCAGGTGACAGAGTGACATGGAAGAAAAGCAGATTTGCAACCTCACAATTGCATAAACAAAATGCTGACTGCTCTGAACTGTAATTAGCTTTTGTAAGGACTGAAGTGCTGAAACACTCAGTTGGGGGAGAGATGTTCAGTAGTTTAGGCAATAGTTATCTGAACAGGGCAAGAGAGGAGCTAAAATAGAACAGCAGTTCTTAAGATGTGGCATTTTCCATGATGATGTTATGCAAAGCCCCGTGCTTATTAGGTATTCACAAGTGGGAGCCCATGAGACTCACAAAGGGGGAATCCCACCGCCCCCTTACTTGCTGAGCCCTGGCACATCTCCCTTCCAATCTCATTCCCCTGTCATGGAGCCTGGCATGACTCCAGGCCTCTACAGCTGCCTCTTGACCCAGCCACCACTGTGGCTCGGCCTGGAGTGGCTCCTGGACTCCACCATGACTGCAGCTGGGCCCAGAGTGGCTGTTGGACTCCACCATGGCCAGGCCTGGAGTAGCTCTTGGACCACCACCACAGCTAGGCTCAGAGCAGCTCCACAACTACGCCACTAGTGGACTTACCTCCAGAACACAAGAGGTAAGTCCATTGTCTGATCATGCACATACAAACATATTGTTTTGGGGGGATTTAACCCCCCAATGTATTTCTTTTTAGTTTCAGATTTTTCTACAAACCTAGGGAGTTCCCCAAGTTTGAAGAAGTATCCGTTTCTTTTCTGTGAGGTCACGGCCCAAAGATGTACATATCCACAAACGGGGCCACACTTTGCTATTAGAATGTACAATTTGCTTGGAGTGAACTCCATTACCTCAGCTAAGAATCATGGAAATGGAGGCACAGTGAGTCTGAAGCAAGTTCCCAGGACCAAAGACACAAAAGGTTCAGCTAATGCTGAATTGTGTATTTTAAAACATAAGGTCATCTGTGATCCCTGTTTGCAAAAGTGATGAATTAGCAGGGTTCTAAACCAGAGTTTAACCCAGTAGAACAACTCCGATTAACACAAAACCCTATAGTCATGTGTCACAGGTAGATGAATTTAGTTTCTAAATGGGTTTCATATGACATTCAAATATAGCCTTAGCCACAGTATCTTCCCTTATCTGGAGGAAGGTGAGGGGAAATTCAGAAAATCACAGGATTCGCTTTGCCAGTTGGACGTCAGCTGTTATCTGGATTTACCTGTGCCTTGCTGCTAACACTGAAATTCTGCAACTCAGCTATAGTAATGGAAGTATTACAGTCTTCCAATAAAAGAAGATGCTGGAGTTTTTGCAAAGAATTCCAAGCCTCTTGACTATAAACATCCAAACTGCCTTTAGTCTGGAATCACCAAGTATTCTTTTCCTACAAATATACAAGCAACCATAACCAAAAGTTTCTATAATCTCCATTTGAAAATCAAAATATTTTCTAAACCATGCCAAGGCACAGCCTTGGAGTATATTCTGCTTTATACCAAAACGTGAAGGTCTTGCTGCTCTAATGTCATTTGGTCCAGCCCAAAGCCTAACGATGAAAGAATGCTGATAACAGAATGGCTGTGTGGGACTCTCTCATCAGAAAAAAGATACACAATAGGAATTAGCTAAGATTAAAACAGACAAATAAATTGTACTTCGAACAGCAAGCACATCTTCTGGTAGAGTACACTGAGAACCACATCTTCTGGTAGAGTATGCTGAGAACCTCATAAACTCCTTTAATGATCTCTAAATTTCTTAATACTTTTCATGTATTACAGAATACAAATGATTTAAAAGAATCTGAGCAAACTGCCTGTATCAAACAGAATAAGTACGTGGGTATTAAGAGTATTATTTTCTTCAATGTCTGAAACTCCTGAAGGAATAAAATTTCAGTTTAAACTACACTATAAAAATAGAGTGCGTATCTGAGCCTTCCCATAAAGAGAAGTTGGTCAGGATTTGTAGTACTGCCACTCAATGTCATTCTTAGATGCTACAACATTTAGAACAACTTATCAAGCAGTTGAAATCAAAGAATCCTTAGAGCAAAGTCAAATGATTCTCTCTGGAATGAAGTTTAGAACATGGAACACGATTTAGCATACGGAACACACACCTTCTGGCACACAAACACCTCAAGTCTTGCTTAGTGTATTCTCATCTTAGAGGGAAGCATGGTTGTCAGAAGCAGGACATACTTTATTGCCGCACCTCTTAAGAAATGGGAACAAAGTACCTGAGAATCAGCTTTTGATTTACTTGTATGTATATGATATCAGGATATGCAAGACTAGCATAATAAGCCTCCTCCTCAGTAGCTGTACAAGAGTGGAAATACAAGAGCAGCATCCTGATAAACTTGTTCTGCTGGTGATCTTAGTACCAAAAGGTGTTAGTAATCCAAAGTTATTTACTAAGCTCTCATGTACTCTCTCCCCCACCCCCACTGTGTCTTACAAAACCTGGGCTGATACAGGCAGGATGCCTCACAGTGACTTTCAGAATGAACTCTACACAATTGGTGAAAAGTTACTGAATAAATTCCAGAGATTACCAAAGGCGGATATATCGGAAATTGCGTTCTTTTTTGTCATTGTCTTGTTCATTGGTAAGTAAGATGCTTTCTAGATGCCTGTTAAGTCTCTGGGTTGGTCAGATCTGGTTACTTTGTTTTTAGGAGCTTCAAATAACATGCTGTTTTGTAAACCTCTCTAATCTCACCTGAGTTTTCAAGGCTATAATGCTCAGGATAGGATTAAAGTTTATGTTGGTAAAGCGTTTAGTGTAGATTCACACGGCTAAATTTCACCTTGCATTTGCATGAAAAGGCAGATGATCACATGGAATAATTTGGCAGCAAGAACTTGTCTTCTGTACTGTGCGAAATGTCACCTACATTTTTTATACTGCAGCAGCAAGGGGGACACCAAAACCTATGGAAAGATAGCTAGAAGTCTTGCTCAGAAACACAAGGCTATATGGGAGTTAGTAAAATTGTAACAGGAGATACAGATAACTGCAGCTTCGACTAATGCATATGCAAGCCTTTTTTGTCCAGATTCTGTTAAGAGCTCATTTCCCATAGAATTTCGGAAACACATTTAAAAAAAAAGATTAAAAAGCTATATCAGTTTTTCTTGCCCCCAAGTCTAAGACTGCTTCTTGCTCATTGGAGAATGGATACTGTTGAGCTAACTCTAATATTCTAGTATAAATATCATACAGGTGCATGGCAAAGCAATGACTTTGATGTGTGAATGTTACAGTCATGAAATTATTCATACATAAACATGTGAATCAGTACTAAGATATATCACTTGAAATGGAGCAGTTAATAGAACAAAGAGCAAAGGGGTTAACAACAACTGCTTCAACACTAAGGATAGCAGTAAAAAGAAAAGCAACTGCAGAATGGATCTGTTTCATGTATGCCCTGCCTTTCTGCCCAATGGGGGACCCAAAGAGGCTTACACTGTTCTCTTCTCGTCCATTTCATCTTCACAATCTCTGTGACTGGCCCAGGCCAAGAGTGTGTGACTGGCCCATAGTCCCCCAGCAAGCTTATATGGCAGAGTAGAGATTTGTACCCTGATCTTAGTCCAACACTCTAATACCACACTGGCTATGAATGCTGAAAAGGGCATTTTTCTACCACAGTGAATCTTTAGAAATGATAGAGCCTAGTTCTTTCAGCTGTAACTGGACCAGACTTCTGGTCCAGAATGACTAGCTTTTAACTAAACTTGGTGAAGGAACACTTAAGGGAAAAAATAGTACGAAATTCCTTTTTTACCTTTATTATCCACATTATTTTAACTCTTCACATTAGAAATGAACTGTACTTTTAAAACTACTTTTATATAGCAGTTCTGAATTGCAAAGGCTGTTCCATTTTTGTACTGATTCTATGAGGAAGGTCATTATCATACCTATTTTACTAGTTTGGGTAACAAGGCTGAGAAATAGTGGTTTGCCCAAGGTCATACATGAAATTAATAACAGAGGAGTGGCTTGAATACTTGTCAAAACCAAGTATAAAAGCTACTCTAGATGTTAATGATATTCAGAAAGGAAACACTTTAGTTTTTTCTACATCTCCACCAAGTGTGAAATTGATATTTCAGGAAGCAAGAGGTTGCTGTACTTCCTGTTTACATTATAGTAATATCCTTCACTGCTCAAACTGTTAACTGGATCACAGAGGAGTCCTGAGGGACCGCCTTTCCCCATATGTTCTCCCAAGGGCACTACGGTCAGGGGGGCAACATCTGTTGGTTATCCCAGCCCCCAAGGTAGTTAAATATGCTGCAACCAGGGCCAGGGCTTTTTCGGTGGCGGCCCCTACCTGGTGGAACGAGCTCCTGGAGGAGATCAGGGCCCTGCCACCGCTATTGTACCACCACCGTATTAACATCATGAGGCGCACTGGCCCTGGTATGGGGATGACAGTTACAGTGTAACATCAATTGAGCAGAGACAATTGTGTTTACTCGGAGTGTGTTATTGTTATTGGCATTTTATTATGGAATTGATATGGTCTGTTGAGCACCGACTTTTAACTGTTTTATAGGTAATGATTGTTTAGCCCTGAGCCCGTGTTGGAAGGGCGGGATACAAATGTAATAAATAAATAAATAATATTAAGTTTTGCAGGCACTGGTATCTCACAAAACTCACCTCTGACAGCTGTTTTCCTACCTGAGAAAAATCCAAACTCACATTAATGATGTATTCACCCCAATAGTGTCACTCACAGTTGTGTGTACCAGATTGTCTCATTAGATCTTTATTGCAAAAGAACAGTTGTATAAAGACACTCTTTAAACACCCTGACTGTATGGTTATGGCTGTACAAAGTTGTAAATACTCCTCAAAGTAGCAGCCTTCTATACAGCCAACTTTAAATGGTTATGTGGGAGCTTTGCTTCTGTAACAAAAGCCAGCAGACAGGACTAGCAGTAGTTTTTACACGCTTGGGCCCCATGAAGAATCAAAGTGGGGTAGGAGGGACAACTTGGAAATCTCCCCTTCTCATTCACTAAGCTCTCAGAGGCTTGACCAGGCTGACTCCCCCTCTTTTATTTAACTGATATTCAGCAGCTCTCAACATCCCATTTCTGAAACATTTTCAGTCCTCATCAGCCACCTTCTTGATTAGTGCAGAAAGTATATTTTCCTGCATACTTCAGAAGCCTCCCAAATATCTAGCGACCCGTACACCTATTCTCCGTGTGGCCAGGTTTTGCTGTTTTTATGATCTACGCAAGGACCAATGATTTTACTATTAGATATAGTGCTACGTGCAGAATTGGCCAAAGTTGTTATGTTTAAAAACCACGGCTGTGAGGCACAATCTGAGGGGCTGGGGGAGGGGAGTTGATCTCTCTCTTTCTCTCTCACACGGAGAGTTTTCCCAGCCTATTAGTTTTCCTTCTTTCATCTTCACCCACTCTAGCTTTTCAGTCCCACGTTTTTAATACTTTTTACTGCCAGCCAGTCTGATACTCACTTCACTGCCTCAGTCCAAGCCCTATATTCTGGGAATCTACGATTTTGATATCAGTCATGACAAAGATTAATCTTTACTGAGTATGGCTGGGACAAAGGGAAAGAAAAGTTTAAGTTTTGTAGGGTTTGGAAGCCAAAAAATAAATAAAAAGCAATGAGCTACAAGCCACAGTTTGGTCATTCCAGTCCTACATTAGCCATTAGCAAGCAGCTGATCATGGTTGTTTGCCGTTCCGGGGGACAACAAACACACTCGGAAAGGTATAATCAAATCCCTGTTGCACCGCAAAGTGATTTAGGTTCATTCTAATTCTTGTTTAACATTTTCAATAACTAACATGCTCCCTCTTCTTTTCTCGTTCCAGCTACAATAATTGTAATGATGATCATAGCCTGCAGCTATTGCTGCTTCAACTGTGGCAATGGGAGCCCAGATCCCAAAGGCAGGAGGACCCGTGTTCAGCCAGCAGCCCATAAGTGAGAATGCATTGCAAAAAAGTGTGGAAATTCTAAGGAATGAATATGAAGCAACTGCTGTCAGCCACCACAGAGGAAACCTTGCACAGCAATTGACCAACAAGATGGTAAAAAGGTGGATGACAAATATCAAGCAAAAAAAGGGGAGAAATCCTACATCAACTAGGATTTTGTGCCACAGCTACCACATGACTATATAATAGAGTCCACAGTATTTGTCTCTCTTCCTTAACAGACATTTTAGTATTAAAATACTAAGATTGCCATAGCTTGCCTGGATATGAATCCCAACGTAAAACCAAAAAGAGCAAAAGCCATGAACAATCCTAAGAAAACTTACATACTTGTACAAAAGGGAGAGTTGCAGGGAGATCCTGGACACCACGACTCTCCATTCTGAGCTTCAAGCTACATGCAAGTACTCAACGCTTGACACAGCAACTACAATATGAGCCCCATTTCTTCCTTGCTGACCAACGATCTACAGCAAAGAACACTAAACCACAGAATGTCTGACTGAGTGATCCATTCAGGAGATGATGCAGCTTTGCAGTTAACATATGAGTTCAGAGACTAGGAAGCCAGGTGGCGACAAAGGCCCCCCCCTCAGACATGACAGCTGCCAAAGAGAACACACAGACTATATGTAATAGCCATTGTCTGCGTAGGGATGAGGGTGAAACAATACCTAGCCCCCAAAACACTGTGTTGTTTTGTTTGTTCACTTCGCAGTGATTGCTAATAAGCAAACAGAAAATGCCTTGTTTTCTCTTCCATTCAAAAACTTTGCTGTATTTGCTATAAACTCAGTATTTAGTATGATGAAAGAGGAAGAAGAGATTGCCCATTCTTACGTGTTCAGAATCCATAGCTAAACATCTGCTCTGGAAAAAAAATTATTTTTCTATTAACAGTTTATATTTATGGTAGTAAAATACCCTGGTTTAAGGTTGTGTTTGGAGGGCTCAAAAGGAAAAAAAGCAAGGGCAGGAAAAACCTGTCAGAACCCACAGCCAACTACTGAGTACACACTTATCGAAAAGGTAATACTTTATTGTATTAACAAAATGCATTAACAAAAGCACTGTTAAGAATGGTGTCGCCCTTACAAGCATAATGGGCTATAGGGCATTCGTATGCACCCCCCCTTCCATAGGCCAATTAGCCACATTCCTGCGTGCGGGAGAAGTAGCCCCAGACCGTTAGAGCCGAAGCTGGGAACCAACAGCACTCCCACGGTTCCCTCAGATCCAGACACCACACCACCTGGACTACTTAGAGATAAGCAAGCGTTACAGCAGAGAAGAAGCACAGAAGGAATGCAGCAGTAATTAGTACACAAGGAAAGGAAACCCACTACTCCCATGGCAGCATAGCTGACATTCTGCCCTCTCAAAATCAGCTTCTCCCGACCACCCCGGGAGGCCTCCCGGTCATTCTGGGAGATCTCCCGGTTTGTCCGGGAAGTCGCTATGGAACTTCCGCAACAACTGAGGGGCCTGAATATCCCCTACTTCCACCCACTCGAGGTGCTGGGGTCCAAAATCCAACCATTCAACCAAATACAACAATTTCCCATGTTTAATCCTAGAGTCCAAAATCTTAGAGATCTCATAATGTTCCTCGGCCTCAATCAAGATAGGAGGGGGCACCGGTTTCGATGGACGCCATGGACTGGAACCAGAATCCCGTTTTAGGAGGCTGAAATGAAATACAGAATGAAGTTTCCTCAAGTTCTTAGGCAGATCTAAGTCCACAGCGACATTATTAATCACTCTTTTCACCTTGAAGGGACCAAGGTACTTCCAGCCCAGTTTTCGGCTAGGGCGCAACACCTGAATGTTTTTAGTAGACACATAGACCGAGTCCCCAGGCTGCAGAGCCCATCCCTCCACCCTTCTCTTATCAGCCTGATACTTGTACGCCTCCTTAGCAGCATTCAAAGTCTTGCAAAGGAGCGGCCACAACTCCTTCAACTGTTGACACCATTGTGCAGCATCTCCCGGCTCCAAGTCTTTTTCCCCTTCCAGAAAAGGCACAGGCAGGCTGTCATAACCATATAAAGCCTTAAATGGTGACAGTGCAGTAGAGGAATGGCACGTGTTGTTATAGCAGAATTCATCAAGGGGCAACAGATCAACCCAATCATCCTGTTGATAGTTAGTGAAACAACGGAGATATTGTTCCAAAGTCTGATTAACCCGTTCTGTCTGCCCGTCAGTCTCTGGATGATAGATGCTGCTTAGGCCCCGTTCCACCCCCATCAGTTTCATCAGTTCCCCCCAAAACCGGGAAACGAACTGAGTTCCCTGGTCGGACACCACCTTGGCCGGGAGCATATGTAGACGGAAAACGTGCAGGAAAAACACTTTGGCCAGAGCTTTTGCAGTGGGTAGGGAGGCAAACGGAATGAAATGTGCCTGTTTAGAAAATGAATCCACAACCACTCAAATGACAGTCATTGATTTGCTTGGTGGGAGATTGGTAATAAAATCCATAGATATCACTTCCCAGGGTCGGCTAGGAGTAGGATTAGGGTGTAATAATTCCCGGGGTTTTCCCCGGCCTGGGCTTACTCATGGCACAGATCTAGCAAGACTTGACAAAGGAGAATAAATCCTTTCGCATTTGTAGCCACCAAAATTGACGCTGTAGGAGTTGAAGGGACTTAACAAAACTTGAGTGTCCCGACAACTTTGAGCCATGCATGGCTTGCAACACTTCCCCCCTGAGAGAGAGGGGAACAAACAGTTTATGTCCACGATACCAGCAGCCGTCAGCCCGAAGCTCAAAGTCACCTTCCGCCTCTAGCACTACCTTGTCACCCTCCAAGAAGGCGGAGGTGAATTTGCTGTGCCATGGGTCCCCCCCCCCCCGGCTTGTCCGACCAGGAAAGATCAGGTGGCCGTGACTCAGGGGGTGGGGCGGTGCGGCGTGCCTGGCTGCGTGTTGTTACCACCCTGCCCAGATGGGAAGGCGTGAACACCAAGTCCAAAATAATCTTCTGTTGGCTATCGTGTTGGGGTAGGCGTGACAGGGCGTTAGCCAAAGAGTTCGCGGAGTTGGGGAAATGGTGAAAGGTGAACTGGAATTTGGAAAAGAAATCAGCCCATCGGAGCTGTTTAGCATTAAGACATTGTGGCATTTTGAGCGTTTCTTATGATCAGTCAAGACCTCGAATGGGACCCGCTTACGATCGGCAACTCACAGTTCGCAGTTGTTCACTTTCGCTTTCAAACGTTCATTCGCTTCATCACTCTGCAAAGTCCCAGTGGCGTTGCTAGTCCCCGTTTGGGGCACTGCCGCGGCGGGACCTTCGGGGCATGGGGCGAGCCTCAATTTCCGACCTTCGGGCCGGTAAAGAGGTACTTCCCCTAAGCGCCCCCTGGTTCGGAGCCTTTTTGCCAAGGCTCCTTAGGGTCTCCCCCCTTTTGCGGGCCCCCCCCCCCCCAGCCACGCGTGGGCGAGTCGACTCCGGGAGCGTCCCGAGAGTGCGACCGCCATTCGCGCCACCAAAACCGGAAGTCCATGTCAGAGTTTTTTCTTTTGGGTGCTTATTTCTTGGACAGAATGACTGAAGAATAACTGGCTGGTTCAGATGAAAGGCTTTCAGTATAAATTATGGAGCCGTTCTCAAGCCCACCGATTCTTTTTGGAAAATGCAGTTTCTTCCTTGTGGACAGTGCCGCTAACTCTGACACTCGTCTTGTGGATGTGATTGCTACCAGGAAGGCTACCTTTCAGGAAAGAAACTTCAGTTTGATTGACATTAGTGGTTCAAATGGTAGCTTAGTGAGTGCCCACAGTACAGTAGATAAATTCCATGTGAGATATCTATGTCAAACGGGGGGGGGGGGGGGAAACAGGCCAAAGAGCAAGGCCTTGAATTGGAAATGATGACCCTGGTAGTAGAAGTGGAGGAAACGCCTGGAGTCCAAATGCACAGGAACATGTAGGTAGGCTTCCTTGAGGTCCAGTGATGTCAAGTCATCTCCCTTTCTCAGTGCCTGCAAGATATGGTGTAGGGACTCCATTCAGAACTTCCATTTCTTGACCCACTTGTACAGCCCCCTTAGGTTCAACACCACCCTCCAGTCCTCTGATCTTTTGGGGACCACAAATAGTACTGAGTACACCCCCCTGAACCTTTGGTCCACAGGTACTTCCTCTATATTGTACCAATCTTTAGGAGGTGTTGAATAGCTTGCCCCAGCAGAATTCTTCTGTTGTGTCCTTTTGGTACTGGGGAGGGGATGAACTGCCAAAAGTTGTATCTTGTAACTGTCCATTATAATTGAGCGCACCCACTGGTCCATTGTGGACTCCCTCCAAGCTTCTGTGAATGCTTGGAGTCTCGTGCCTGATAGTCAGGTGGCATGTTTCTTGGTTTACAGGTTTTTGTTCTTGGTATAGGTGGGTTGTTGCCTCTGGTTTGGCCTGGGGCAGAATCCGAAGGATCTAAGGCCCTTGTAATCTCTTCAGTCCCTGCCTCTGCCTGAGGGTCTGAAGCCATGAAAGGACTGATATAATCTTCCTTTTTGGTCCCTGTCTCTGCTAGATGAAGGCATAGCCTTCTTTTTCTCTTCTGTCTCAACCAGCATCTTGTCCAGGATGGATTCCCCAAACAGAAGTTTTCCTGAGAATTCTTCTGAGGACAAGTGGCTCTTGAACAGCGTGTTCACTTTCCAGTGTATAAGCCAAATGTTATGTTGCACAGAATGGAATAGCATCCTGTGAAGCATCTGAAGTGAACTCTGCTGCTCTTTTCATTTGTAATAGGGATCTCTTCAGGTCCAGTGGGCTGACTTCTGGATTTTTTAAGAGGTCATCTGCCCATATCACTATCGCCCTGGTGAAATGTGACAAAATGGTAGATGCCCTAATTGCTAGGGATGCTGTCTCATGGGACTTATTTAATGCCGCCTCATTCTTTCTGTCCATGTGATCATTTAGTGTGTTCTCCCAGTCCTTTGGGAGGACTGCTCCTGAGTGGAGGGCCGCTACCAGGGCATCCATTGCCTCCTCTGGAAGGGTGTAGAGTTTCTTGGCTATGGACAGGAGAGTGCTCCCACTACCCAGTAGGGCCCGTACTGTGTTTATCACATCCTTGAAGTAATCTGGGAAGAGGGAGACCATCTGGACCCTGATTGGTTTCTTAAAGTCCCTGTCGTCCAGGTTGGCTGACACTGTTAATCTTAGTTTCTTTGTAACCACAATGTGGTAGTTTCATGTGGTGACAACTTTATTAAGGAGCCTTTGGAAGTAAACTATCTGAAAAAGCCTGGAGGAGGATTCCTGCAACTCCTTTTCCTCCCCCAAACATTTGCCCTCTTCCTTCTCAGAATGGCTGTCTAGGGATGTGACTCCCGACGCTATCTCCCCATATTCTGAGATGGGGGGGGGGGCGCTTCTCTGCATCCTGGGCCTGAACTGTTGATCTGTGGACAGTGCCACCCTGCCTAGCCTTCTCCCTGCTGTGGGGGGGGGGGGGGTTGTAGTCTAGCCTTGAGGTGACCGCCGCATGGATCACTGTGGCCAGGTCCTCACGGCTGAGATACGGGACCAACTGCCGAGCCAGCCGAAGATGGTAAAAGGCTGCCCTAGCAGTGGTTGCTACCTGGGCCTCGATCCTTAGAGAGGAGTCCAGGCGCACCCCCAAACTCCTAACCTCTGACGCTGGCACCAAAGGCACCCCATCGAAGGTCGAGAGAGGGAGCCCCAATCCCACGCCGATCCGACTCAGGCCCAGGACCTCCGTCTTTGCCAGGTTTAGTTTCAACCGGCTCAGCTTGTAACGCCCGGTGCAGGTCATCGGGAGTAGAGTCCGACTGGCCACCTAGC